AGGTTGCCGCTCTTTGACTGACTTGACCATCCCGAATTCAGTTATGCACATTGGGGCAGCCTTTTATGCTTGCCTCTCTTTGGTGAACTTGACCATCCCGGACTCTGTGACCCACATCGGAGATTTTGCCTTTGAGGATTGCCGCTCTTTGGTTGACTTGACCATCCCGGACTCTGTGACCCACATTGGGCTTTTTGCCTTTAAAAACTGCCTCTCTTTGGTGAACTTGCACATCCCGAACTCTGTGACCCACATTGGGAAGGGTGCCTTTGAGAATTGCAGCTCTTTGTCACACTGCACCATTCCAAGCTCAGTGACTCACATTGGGCAATATACCTTTGCAGGTTGCCACTCTTTGACTGACTTGACCATCCCGAATTCAGTTATGCACATTGGGATTGTAGCCTTTTATGCTTGCCTCTCTTTGGTGAACTTGACCATCCCGGACTCTGTGACCCACATCGGAGATTTTGCCTTTGAGGATTGCCGCTCTTTGGTTGACTTGACCATCCCGGACTCTGTGACCCACATCGGAGATTTTGCCTTTAAGTCAATTTCGCTGCAATCAGGAGTTAACTCAAAACATTCAGGAGTTAGCCTTTTTTAATGTATTTTTTTGTTTGGTTTCTCGGGTCACTTTCACTCGCCACTAACTCCCCACCACGCACCTTTTTTCATCCGCTGTCCGGTTGATTGTGCTTGTGCTCAAAATTTATCAAACGAGTCTCACCACCTGGTTTGGTGAGAGCTTCAATTCAGATCGAAGAAACCACAGTGGTTTTCCTTAGGTAGGAGATGGGCACATGCTAAGATCCCTTGCTCCTTCAGAATGAATGCATGGCAGTTAGGTAGAAAATCCAGGAAAATCCATCCAAGGATCTTGGCGACACTTCCTGAGAGAAAGACCAAACTCAGAACAAGCATTGGAATGTTCAGAAACGGGCTCACTCCAAGACATTCCAAAACAACCTGCAAGCATGCAGACTAGAATCACTTGCTTCTTTGCGGTAACAAACTCGCCATACTTTCTCTAGAGCTCTGCTAGCTTCCAGTTCCTTGGCAGTGCTATGGCAGTGATGGCAATGGAGAAGTGGGTAAGGACGGCCGAGACAAAAAACTGGGAAGAATGCCGAAACAGAAACATGGTATCTAGCCCAGGGTCAGGGAATGTGAATGCAGAGGCGACGTTTGTATACTTGTAGCCCGACACCGCGCTATAGGCAAAAATCTGTGGATTTGGCTTCGGCTTGATGATATACTGGGATCCACCTGCAGTCAAATCTTACTTTAGACTGTCAAAGACCTTGTAGTAACTACTAGGCTGAAAACAACCTCTTGCCTCCACCGGCTACTGGGGCCTTCATCTCGTGGCTGTTGATTGTGGCGTCGGTGATTCCTTGATCTTCGAACTCATGGAACAGTGCGCGCCACGAGCAGCGCTCGGAGTCCGAAGTCCCCTTGGACTTCTCATCAGAAATCTCAAGCACTACATGTGACTGGTCGTTTGTCCAAGTAATCAAGCAGGTCCTTGCGAGCTCACCTGCCATGCAATGAAGGCAAATGAGTGCAAGGGGTTTTAAGGGGCAAAGGGTTCAATGGAGGTAGGCTAGCCGTGGCTTACAGATTCCGTGGCATGGAGCAAACTTCACATCCAGCTGAATACATTTTTCTCGTCGGCCTTGTCGGTGATGCTCTTTCCCCCGAGCTAAAGATTGTGGGTAAGGGTGCCCCTACCAGTCACAAGACCCAGAACCAAAAGCAAAGGAATCCAAAACGATGAACGATCACCCTATAATTCTTTGGAGCTAGACTGAATTGGATTGGGAACCTGGGTCTTGTAGAATCCCATCAGCCTTTGAAACACGCTGCAAACAAAATCAGACTAGTCTTCATTTGACTCGTTTTCAGAACCCTGATTCTCAAGGCCCTCGCTCTCAGAACTCCCGTTCTCAGAGTCGTTGTTCTCAGAACCCTTGTTCTCAGAACCTTTGTTCTCAGAACCCTTGGAAGCAGCAGCATCCTGCGCAGGAGATGGAAGCTTTTGCTCCACTTCCTGCTCCTTCTCGTCTGATTTCTCAGACTTGCGAAGGGGTGGAACCAATCGACGCCGGGAAAGCTCATGATGAGGCATTGACTTGAAGGCTGCCACCCTGTCAGGATGGTTCTTCCACCTTAGGGCACCAAGGGAGAGCTATTGCTTTGCATATGGTTAGATACTAGGGTTAGCTACTAGGGTTAGGTACTAGGGTTAGATACTAGGGTCATGGCAAAGCTTGCGCCATCCGAAGGATCTCAAGTTTTGATTTCTCCGGATACTCTTTTCGCAAGCGTTCCTTGGTCGTCTCCAAGTGGTTCCAGTATGTGTCACGTAGCCCAACACGCCCTGCGCATCCAGGTTTGGCCTGCAAAAAGTAAAGGGCTCAAACATTGAGGATAAAGTGACAGAGTAGCCTTGCCTTTTTTGCCTTAGCTTCACTTGTTGTGTCCTTGTCTTCCTCCTGCTTCTCTTCCTTCTGATTGTCTTCCTCCTGGATTCTTCGCTTCTGATGTCTCCTTCTTGTCTTACCAGCCGTTGCCTTCTCGCTGGTTTCCTTGTTGCCATCAGCACCATCCTTGTGGTCGTCAGCGCCATCGTTGTTGTCATCAGCGCCATGCTCCTTTGCCAGCTGCTCATCACCTTTTGTCTTGTTGCCATGCCCTCCTTTGCTCCTGCTCTTCTTTGTTGGGAGCCTTTTGTCCTCCTGCTCTTTGTTTTCCTTTCCTCCTGTCTCCTTCTCCTCACAATCATCGCTCTTCAAGGCTTCTTCATGTTTCTTCTCTTTTGTGTTCATCTTCTGCTCTTCAGAAGCTGGTTGTCCTCCGCCCAGTCCTTCCTCCTTGTGCATCGCGTCGTTGTCTCCTTGTTGATTTTTGTTTGTATTCTTGTCCTTCCCTGCACGGTCACCATCTCGACCTTTTCCATTGTCATGGTCTTCGTTTTTCTTGACCTCCTTGCGTTTCTTCTTCTGTGTCGTCTCCTTCACTTCACTTGCATCATCTTTCTTGCTGTCATCGCGACTGCCTGTTTCTTCACCTGATTCAGCTTTTCTTTTGCTCACCTTACTCCTCAACGATTCCTCGAACTCTTTTGCTCTCCTTAACCTCTTCTGTGCTTTCTCTTCCTCAATCTCAATCTCCTTTTGTCGTGCCACATCTTCCTTTTTGATATCCTCCAAGTTCTCAATTCTTTCCTGCTTGATCTCCTTCGGACCCTTCTTTGCATCCTTTGCCAGTGTCTCATCATCCTTCTGATCATCGTCATCCTTTTCCTCACTGAACTCTGGCTCAAGGGCTTTGACAACGGGCTCCTTGACGGTATTCGGTTTGCCACTGACAGCGCGTTTGATAAAAGCTGCACGAGCAGCAGGACCTGTGAGCTCCATTTTGTTTTGGTCGTGTCTCCCTCGACCCTTTTTTTTTCTGCTCTTCATTCTTTTCCTCCTGATCTTTCTTCTTTGGCTTCTGATCTTTCTTCTTTGGCTCCTGCTCTTTGGCGTTCCTTGTCTTCTCCATCTCCTCTTGAGCCTGCTTCTTCTTTCCCTGCCTGCCTGTCGTATTCTCCTTTGGTTTCTGTGAAGCTTCCACTTCATCTCCTGAACTCTCGGGCAAGTCTTCATACTCTTCCGACAATGGCTCCTCAGAATCCAAAGAGTTTGATACTTCATCAGCTTTCTTTGACTTCTTGCTTTTTGCTTTCCCTTTCCCTTTTCCTTTTGTCTTCCCAGCTTTGTTGACTTTCTTGGTGTCTTCTTTGGCCGCTTTGGCATCCGCCTTCTCTTTCTTCTTTGCTGCTTTGCTTTCCTTCTTGGCTTCATCAATAGATCCCAGGAGGCTCTCACGCTTTTCATTGCTCATCATCGGATTGTTGATTTCATTGCTCCCCAGAAGGCTCATCGGAACACCTCCAGGTGGTGGCATCTTCTTCTTCGCGCTGTCGTCATCCTGGCTGTCGGCTTCCTGAGTATCTTCTTCCTGAGTATCTTCTTCCTGAGTTTCAGGTTCCTGAGTGCTAACATTCTCCACTTTCTTCTCCAGGTCTTTCTTCTCCTGCTTTTTCTCCTCTTGGTATTGTTCGTCCTGGTCTTGCTTCTTCTGGTCGCTCAACTTGTTTTTCGCCGCACGGTATTCCTCCTCATGGTCTTTCTTCTCATGGTCTTTCTTCAAGCCTTCCCTTGGTTCTGTTCCACTGCCCTTCACTTCTTCCTTTCCAGGCGATTGATATGTGGATGATGGGTAGGGTCACTGGTGCTTTGGCCAAAAGTTCAAAGAAGACGATCATATTTTTTGTTCAACAAATAATTATGCTTCTTGCCTTCAAGGCTTTCTCAGTAGACACGTTTGGAGGCGTGAACAAGACCTCAGCAGTGGCAGGGGTTTACAATATAAGAGACTTTAAAACAAATATGGTTTGAGACTTCGGCTGGTCTGGATGAGGGGGTCAGGAGCGTGGATGGACTCTCATCAGCCATCTTCTGGAAGTCCTGCAAAAGAAGTGAGACTAGAGACTGGAAATCCCCTTAGGCATCATAACTTGTTCACATTCTCCTGCCTCTGAAAAGCCATGTGAGGCAAGTAGGGATTCCAACTTGCTCGTCATGAGGATGATTGCAACAACTTAAGTTAGCTATCTATATCCCACAGTCTCTTCAGGTTTGGGCCAGCTGCTGATTGGCAGATCCAAGTCTGATCTAAAGCAGAGCGACATGATCGATAAACAGTTCGAAATGCTGATGGAAGACAGATTGAACAAACATGTCAGGTGTACTATGTTTTTCTTGTAGTTTCATCTTCTGATACTTGTCTGGATTCAGGAACTTGCTAGGTCCATGGGCGATTTGGTAGTCCAGCGTTCCCAGCTCCACCTCTCCATGGGCAACCTCATAAATTGGCGGGGAGTGACAAGTTCAAAACACATGGAGGTGATAGGCTCGTATGTCGTAGATGTGTTTGTGCAAATGAGTTCAACAAATGAGTCTAGGAGCTAGGAAGAGCTTCCATTTTTGCCCATCGATGATTTCCGTGACGCTTCCGTCTCTCCGTTTCACTGGCATCAAATACAGTGATGTCCCTCCAATCCGTCCAGCCATCTTTGCTTCCACGATGTATGCGTCCAAGAGCTGGTCCAATGATTCCGGCTCGGTCCATGGGGGAAGCGGTTCACTCTCCGGTTCCGATGGTGCTGGAACCAAGGCCTCTTCGGGACCTGCAGCCACTCCAAACCTGATGGAGAGGCATGGGGCATGAATGGGCATGATTGGGCTTGGGGCGGTGAGTTGAAGTGCTTTTGAAAACTGTTTAACAGTTTGACCATGGAACGACGCATCGAGTAAAAAAGTTGAAGGTGAAAGGCATTGAAAGGCTCTTACAGACCAAAGAACTGCTTGTCAAAGTCTTTGAGGAGTTCTGCCCATTCATTGCGGTACACGATGTCGTCCACATATCTACCCCTGACGGCTGGGGGGATTGATACCTTGTACTGCTGCCACCCCTTCTTCCCAGGTGCCAAGTCATACTCAATCTTCACAAGGCGGACCGGGAAATTGGCCAGATCGATCTTCTGATTTGCAGGAGTTGGTGGTGGCCTAGGCTCATAGGGTCTGCACTTCCCAAAGGTAGGCGATCCGCTCTTCCACTCCTAGGACAGTAGCAGTTGCAAGGTTTGTGATCCACAGATGAACCCTTCAAACAGTCAGATGAACCCTTCAAAGAAATTTCAATCAAGTTTAGCACGTTGTGGTATAGACCCCCTGTCCTCCATCAGCTCAAGAGCTAGTGCCTTCTCGACAAACTCGCAGATGCCCAAGTTTTTGGTGAGGCTCAGGGTCTTGAAATGGAAAGGTGAATCAACTGAAATCTCCTTCCACTTCCTGGTTGCACGTTCCACCATCCCATCGTACGGTGTCAGATTCACCAACGCAATCGTATTGGTGCTCTCAGGGATCTGAGCTCGTGCCAAAACAGACTCTAGCAAGCTTCGCACCATCACATCTTGCACCAAAAACTGAGCACTTTCTTGGACATCTGATAGACTCCTGGACCATCAGGCGAAGAACGTTCTTTTGGAATAAGCTGTAATTCTACTCCTAAGTTGACTCATGACTTGCGGTATTGAATCTTGTTCAAAACAGTCACAGGATATCACATGATTTTGAGAGTCACCCTTGCCTATGTCCCTCTGACGCATGCGGAATGGCATCCTTGCTTGCCACTGGGACAATGTACGATGCTTCCGCTTGCCAGGGACACTCCGCTCTTGTCGCCCTGACCAAGGACTGTGGGCTGCATGTGGGAGACGGGATAAACTCTGTCATGAACGTTAATGATGAATGAAAGAATGAATGAATGAATGACTGAATTAATTAATTAATGAATGAGTGTCAGTCTACCATACAGTGGGTGTTTTTTCTTGACAGAGAAACCTGTCACAAAACTGTTCAAGATTGCACCAGTCCTGTCTTGCAAAAGTTGGCAAGCCAAGAACCAGTTGCCATCCTCACTTTTGACACAGGAATCATCGAACAGCAACCAGCCATTAAAGTATAGTGGAACTTTCCGTGCGCGGGGTGGCTGCTGGCACCTCACCGCCATTGACTCCGAGTAGAGGCCACGGGCATCAAATTTGTCTTCCCAGCGTCTGAGCAGGCATGTGTAGCGTTGGACCGACGTTGGAGAAAAATGTTGAAAGTAACTTAAAAGTAAAATGTTGAACTTAAAAGTAACTTCTAGGGAACTTAAAAGTTAAATGTTGAAAGTAACTTATCGAGCTTAAATGTTTCGTTGAAAGCAACCATTTTTTGCAAACCTGGCCTCAACTCTCCTCTGTAGCCATTACACACCTTCTCGGAGCATAGCCATGGAGCCACCACAATTGCCACTGATGCATGGGGCCGTTTGGCCAAACCAGCGCTGAGCAATTCTGAAAATTCGTTCAGCTCTTGATTGCTGCATCTTCCGCATTTCATCAGATCAGCATAGATGATGGTGGGTGTGTCCGGAAATCTTGACAGGAACTGCAGGGCACAAGGTTTAAACATGCCAAGTCAGGTATACATTTGATTGCAAACAAACTGTATAACCGAGTTTTCCCCAAACACCGGGCCCTGTCCATCAAGGATTGCTGGTCCTTCACGCTGCCGCTGCCAAGAGCCATGTTGGTGGCCATATATTCCGAAACCAACCCAGCTCCGATGGTATTCTGGTGCCGCAAGTGTAGGACACGCTCTGTCCGAGCAGTTTGATCGCACTTGTTCACTTCCTTGACAAGCTGTCCAATTTGTGCACAATCCCTGGCTAAAGCAATGCAGTCTGCATCAAACTGAGCTTTGCGAGACTCCTTTGTGAGGTTGTCGACCTCTGAATCCGCTGCCGCCACTTTGGTGGCCACGGTCTCTGTGGGCTTTGGTGCATGCTCTTTCCACATGCTCGTGTCTTCTATCTTGAAGTGTGGGTCCATGCAAGTCAAGTAGTCCTCTGCTTCAGAGTTGTAGTCCCTTACAGGGTGACCCCGCCCGGTGGAAGGTACAAAAAGACACCTAAGAACTCATCTAAGTAGCGCTTTTTTGGTTATCAAACATTATGACTTCAAAGAAAAAACAAGTTAAACGTTCCGAGCCACCCCTCAACGCAGCGCAGTACAATGGAGCGCACAACTTCATCAGAAAAGATGCGGCCCCCGTGATCATCAGTGACTACTGACATGTGCAGCACCATGGAACTGAGGAAAATCATCCGCTCACATTCAATCCCCCACTCTTGTATGTTCAACCTCGATGATGCTGATCGCGCTCCGCGGCGGCTTGCAAGATCGTGCAAAAACAGGACCCGTTGTACAAAGACACATTGCTTTTCAGGGGTGACCCGGAGCAGCTCGGTCCAGATGTGACTCTTCTTGGAATTTGGGTCCCGGCTCATCCCACCAACCAACCAGCGAATGTCCAGGAGCAACTGGTTTGTGAAGGCTGCAGGGCCGGAGCAATCATGTAGAAACATGCCTTTCTAGCCGCATGACTAGGATGATGTTCAAAGTATGGTTGGTTTCCATGTAGTACAGCCGTTTAACTTATTATTTATTATATAAATAAGATATCATAAGCCTGAACCCACTACCTCCACTCTCAAGCCTGAATGCTCAAATTTGTACATGTGCAAGTGCTGCTCGATCAGCTCCCAGGAGTCATTGCCAACGCCAGCCTTGCTTCAGCAGGCTTCGAGTTCAACGGATTGGTTTGAAGAAGGTGAGCCCTAAGACAGAAAGGGAGGGCCAGGGGTAAAGGGAACGGGATCAAATGAAAACATTGAACTTTACTGTAAATACTAGGCAAGCTTCGCAAAAGCCATACAAGTAGAACGCCGCGTTGGAATCGATTTGAAAACGCTTTGAGTGTGCAATCATCTCGTAAGAGTTGTACTCACTGATGGCTTTGAAGAAGGCTTCTTTCACTTTGCCACCAAATTCTGCAGGCTCCTTGACCAGGGGGTTCAAGCATGATCAAACATGGCAACCTGCTGGGATTTACATGTCGGTGAGCTTATTGAAACTCGTGAACCAGCTAGATCCCTTGAAGCTAGTCCTTCGCCATGATCTCTGTCGCCCTTGACTTGAATATGAGAACCTTCTGTAGGATATTCTTTTTCTCCCGCTCAGATTGCTGCTCATGCACCGCCAGCCTCCTCCACAAGCAGTCGCTATGTGAGGCAACTATGAACTTCGACTTGATGAACTTGACGGAATCCAACCACCTGCCCAGGAGCGTGCCAGGGACCCCAGAGCATCCCAAACATCAAAAGGGTCACCCTGAGGGGGTCGCAAACTGAGGACCTGCCAGGACGACGGTTTCGGTGAAACCATCACCCTGGACCTGATGCTTTGGGGCCTGGTGTGATACTATGGGGTCCACGTTTGATACTATGGGGTTCAAGTTTGATACTTTGGGATGCACTGTTGATACTTTGGGGAATAAGTTTGATACTTTGGGAACACAGTTTTGTACTTGGGAACCCTGTTCCAGGACGACGGTTTCAGTGAAACCATCACCCTGAGAGGTTGTGAAATCTGAGACTCCCCAGGGCGACCCTTTTGATCAGGGGGAGTGCCGGGGAGTGCCTTATGAAGTCAATTTGCATCTCTTCAGTCATGCTGTCTCGGAGTTTCAAGTAGGTCCAGAGGAGGCCAAATAGCAGCATAGAGATTCTGCCCATTCCTTTGACAAGGCCCACCGAACCAAAACTGTAGGGTGTATCCGGGTCGCTTTCAGCAGCTGGTTGTACTTCGACAATCTCTCTCCACGATTCATACCCCCGAAACCAAATGTCTTTCCCTGTAGCTAGCCAGCTGTGAAGAAGAGGCAAGCCGTCCACGGGACGTGTGTAGAGAAACGCCAACAAAGGAATGCTGACGAGCTCATCGCTTGCAGCCTCAGACAGAAGTCGTTCAACTAAGTTTCTGTACATCGTAGAAGTTTCTGTACATCGTAGGCTTACTTAAGTTGGCCACTCAGACTCTACGACTGCCAAAGAGCTGGAAATTTGAAACGTCTGGGATCTGGAAAGCTGGAGTCTTGTTCCTGAAGCCACGTCAGCATGGGTTCCAGGAGGTCCTGTTTCCAAGCATCCAGTAGCCATTCCACTGGATGTGGATCCTCCCCGACAACGGTGTTCCTGAAGGCGAAGGCATCAAGTTCATTTGAAACGGGATGTCGGAAACCTGTTCACCCAAACCCCTTTGAAGATGACTGGTAACCAAGGGTTCATCCTCCCCACCTTCAGCCTAGTTTCTTCGCATCATTGTAGATTTTCCCGGCCCATGGACTACTTGCTTTAAGTTCTTTCGAGGATTTCTGGTCAGCCGAGGCTGAAGCACAGGGCCTTTTGCCCATCGGTGGAGCTACAGGACTGGCGGCCGGGATGGCCTCTCATCCAAACTCCTTGAACAAGACATCAAAAAGTAATTGTTCATTTCTCATTGTTCAATTCAATACTTTGCAATTAGAGCAGTTTCAGTTTCAGCAAGCTCTTAGTCTACCAGTAGCTGGCAATAAAGCAGGGCGGTCTCATGTTTTGGCATGTCACACGTTCATTTACACGTCAAGCCTCAAGGCCAATTACCAAACAAACAATCATTCTTGAGTGCATGGTTCATCTATTGAATTTCACTTCAGACCAACTTTAAGTTGATAATGGCGGTCAACAAAAGAGCCGCCACACAAGGAACTGACATTGTGTTGCCTGCCATTCGGCAAGCATGACTTTCCGGCATATGTTCAAGCTCCACGATTGGAGCCTTACATTTCCTGGCATGCTCGGAGCAAGTCGGCAATATGTGCGTTGCGACCATCTCTTGCGCGGACAGGAACCTTTTGTGTGCCTGGCGACGCAGTTGGTCGAGATTGGTTTGCTACTCAGTGAGGTGGAGTGAGAAACAAAACTTGAAAGGAAATCAAACTCACAGGACCCATCCTTGGAGTATATGAGTGAGCTGTTGGTTGTCAGCGTCTGGAGGGACCCATCTTGCAGTTCACCCCGTCCCCGCTCGTTGGCACAGTACTGGGTAAGGTCCGGATATTGCACCCAGCCCTTGAGCTTCTCATAATCGCTTAGATTGCGTGCCTGAGAAGAAAGCCAAACAAATCAAGAGAGACTGGGACTGGGTTCCATAATTATTCTCAACCCTCAAATTACTTGACTGAGCTGGGGTACCTGGGCATGAGTCAAGACTGCTGCGGGCAACTTCCTCCAGAAGAAATCGCCAGCCTTTCCAACAGCCCTGGCACCCAGTATGTGCATGACCTCTTCGATGGAAATGCCTCCCTCGCGCCACTGGACCCTTTTGGTATCCCATGCCAAAATCCAGATGCGTGTTCTCCCAGCAGGTACACCTAGATGTCTTGGGTCGATAGTCACGCTTCGGAAGTCCCAGTGTTTGGGTAGATGGTCACGAGCTACTTCAGTCCCATACTCCGGAACATTCTCCACCAACATGACATCTGCCGTTCTGGGGATCTCCTTGTAGAATGCCCGGTGGGTGGAAAACACTGGGTCAGCTTGACGGCGTTGCTTACCCATTTTGCTGAAGCTCACACAAACCGGTCCTCACAGTTGTTTGCGGCCACCGTCAATTGACATGAAGGACAAACGACATGAAGGACAAATTACCTGAAGCTTTGGCACAAGCTTTGTCACTGAGGCCAGTTCCTGCCACATTGACGTGGATTCCTTGGGCCGTTGAGGTGAGGTGGACTCAGTTGATATTGAACCTAGCATCCAAAGCAACCCCCAAAACAAATAGATAACTGATTATGATTCGAAGAGTCTTTTTTTCTTCAAGTGGTGCTTTCTGACTCTGCAATATTTGGAGTGTGTCGTGCAATACTGCTTCTCTGCGGTTGAATCGAACTTGGTGATGTCCGCCACATTGCAAGGACTACCATAAGCCTGACATAGAACCTTTTGGCAGCTAGGATCAATCTCACAAGTGAATTCATGCAAGACATGTGGAACTGCCCTTGGCTCTTTCTGAGGCAAATGAACGGCCAGAAAGTGTTTGGCCGCCGACTGCAGGCTCATCACTGCCTGACAGCTTGCCGTTCAACACATGTTGAAGCGTGGGAGTCGCCATTCAATTTAAAGAGAACTTTAGGCAGTCAGTGTGGAAGACTTTTTAAGGGACTTAGACCCGGGCTGATTCTGGAGCACCAATCCCACTAAATGCAGATGAAAAAGTCCACGACCAGGTCCACAAACGCTTAGCCAAAAACTCGTTACCCAGTCGCTGCCCCAAGCGCTTCAGGAACAAATCCGGCCAAGAAAAAGCTTCACTTAAAGAGGCAAAGCCAGCCGGGTGTGAAGGCCCAGGGGCCGGCACTGTGGTCTTCGGGTAGTACTTTTCCTTGGGTTGCCTGCATCAAGAGAAGTAGCCAGTTAGAGGTCACTGATTTACAGTAAGAAGCTCAAGACTCAAGAGTAACAAAACTCGTCAGTCAGTCAGTGCCTTTTCAAGTGTGTCTTCCTAATAGTAGGAGTACCCCCATTTGTCCTTCAATGTCCAAAGTTTGATTGCCTTCAAAAAACAAGGTGTCATGCTGCATCGCATTAAACTAGTATCCAGTCCTCAAATCGTCACTCTTCTTGGTAAGTGCACGAACAGCATCTTTGAGCTTGAGACATGGCATTAGGAATACCTGGCCACCCTGAAAACTACCGGTTCGGGCCTGCACAACAGAGAAAGATAAAGGTTAACTCAATGTAGCAGGTGAACCGCAGCATGCTGAGAATCATGCTTCACAAAGCTGGGTTGCGTCATTTTCCTTTCAATTCAGTGAGTGCAATCACTCAATGAGAGATCCCTCCTCCCCAAGTATTTACTTAGCCCAGAGTGGACTGAACCTATTTAATTTGAATTGCATATCAAGCGGTCGACTCAGCCTTCCTGACGGAAGCGCTTCGATCCATTGCTGTCCTGCGCAACGAAGCAGGTTCACAGACACAAGTTACAGGCTAGTCCAATGGTATTTGGTGTCAACGCTCTTGGTTCACTTTCATTTTCCAATCATTTCACAATGTTGTTAGGCAACAAAAGCGACGAGTAAGACATATTATATAGGCCTCATCCAAGAGATGCCTTTTCTTTCCACCAGCCTGACAGCAAGCTGCCTAAAACCTTTCACTGGACCCTCTAAAACAATACTTAGCTTTTACTTGAGCTGGCTTGCTATGCGGCGAGGCGCAGTGCTACTATGCAACGATGACTTGCAATCAGGCCGGCTGAGTGTTTGACCTTGTGGGACATAGCATTGTCCTGGCGCTCGAGAATAGGTTCAATATGGTTCAATTATGTTCAACTCGCGTGAACTGCAAACTATGTTGAATAACTCTGTTGCAAACTATATATTCTAGCCTCTGAAGAGCTCAGCTGATCCAATACGACGACGGAGTCGAAGTCGATGCTGACCTGGTGCAAGTTAGGAGCCCAACAGGAACACTCTTAGAGGAGGGAAGTCGTGAGCGCCCCACCTGTTCTTCTGTTTCATGTGCACTTGAGATAGTAGGAAAGAGCTCCGGGGTGTCAACCTGGCGGTCATTCTGGGTGAAGTCATTAGCCCTGTGTACGAGTGAGCCTTGGCCTGTGTATCACGGAAAGTGTCAGGGAATGAGTCATCGATCACATACACCTGAGATTGGTAGTCCTCAAAGCTGACGATCGGGTCCTGAAAGACAAGTGTCGTTTGGATGTTTGTGAGAGGCATTGGAACACTGCAATAAGGTTGGAGCCTGAGCGTTCTGCCGCCTGCCAGTGGGTGGTGAGCGTATCCCAACAAAATCCATTTGTCGGAAGGGACCAGTCCTGGCCTGATCTTGTCATTTCCACGGGCAGGATGCGACATGCGTTACTGAGGACCCCCCCTCGGAAAAGGCTGTGAACCTTCCAAGGTGTTGAAGATTCTGACTGACAAATCCTGTCACTGGGACTTTGGTGCCAAGTGCTTCATCTTGCTTTCAGTGACAGTGTGGTCCAACCTTTTTCCACTCAACAAAGATTTACCCACGGCGAGGCAACTGAAACTCCGCTTGGAATCTCATTGTTGGAGCCACTCGGGCAAGGACTGTTGGGTTTCCCAAGACAATCTCATCCCGATCCCCCAAACTTTCAAACCATGGTAAGGGAACCAATGGGCCTGGGTCATGGTTCCGGGCCAAATCCACCAAGAATTCCGCTGCTCTTCCGCTGGAATCCCGAGGGAAGCGTGTAACTAAGACTTTGGCAAGATCTAAATATTCTTGAAGTTTCACCCTCTTCACTGGACGCAAAGGTCTGGGCACTGTCGGCCCTCCATGGAGAATCCGGTCCATCAGCTGATAGGGCATCGCCAGCAAAGCTTCCTGATTGCATTTGGTTTGCTGCAAGTCACTAAGTTCAGTGCAAAACAGAGTAGCGTGAGAGATCTACAGTGCAGTGTCCTGTGCTAGGCCATCATCAGCAGCATTCTTCTTCACCATGCAAATTACATCCATTTCATGCGATTGAAGAGCACCCCTTTTGTCGTCAGACTCGATTCGCAGATTCCGAGGGACATCTGCAGGGCATTAGCCAGCAAATTAGCTCACTAGTCATTACATATCACCACGAGGTCATCATTACATATCAATACATGTTCCCCTGCCTCTCCTGGCGAGGAATAAAAACCCATGAAGACCCGTTGAATCCGTTTTGAGGCCTCCCTTGTACGTCACCGGAACCTGCTCATACCTCATCAAGACAGAGCAAAAGAGAGCGGCTGAGAGGGCTGTCGTGGACGGGGGTTTGCACAAACACTACAGGTTGAGCTGAGGGACCATCCCTTCCAATCACGGCAAGATGTCAAGTACTGGACATTAATGGATGCTGTGGGCCCAATCCATTGTCTGATGTTGATTCTGTCCAAGATCTTCTTGAGCTTCCTTGGGTTCACCAAATTCTATCCCCGAGGTCTAAGCTGTTTGGCGTTGTTTGGTAACATCAGAACTGTTGCTGGCAGGAATCGACACCACATCCATTGGGTCACAGAGCAAGTCCACATATCTGAAAGACTTTGCTAATAGACCATAGACTTGGTCTTAGTGAAGGCAGGCTGAGGGGCTTAGGCCTGAACTGTGGATCGTACAACACAAACATACACAAATCATTGCCATGCGTTAATATATATTCCAAGAACCTAATGCTCCGTGGGTGTGGCCCACCTTTCCGAAGAAATACCCAGCGAATCGCATTTTTGCTCGTCCAACTAGTGCGGCTAGATGTTTCAGGCACGGGTTGTTCTTGTTTTCGCGAACTGTGTTGTCAGCCTGAGCGCTCACAATCTACCAAAAGACAATGAAAGACACAGGCGCAGCTATCAGACGAATGGACGTTCCAAGGAACCCATATGCAGCATGCGCTTGGGAGTGGGCGGCCACATTTTTCGAAGGTCTGGACGGTGTCTTGTAGTACCCTTTGGAATGTTTCGATGACCAAAGAGCTGTCAGCAGCTACGCCAGGGTGGATCAGGAAAAGGTTGAGGGACACGCCATGGTTCCAAACACCATGCACTTTCATCCTGGGGCGCTGAAAGACGGATCCTTCCTTTGAGGATTGTACTATACGGTCTCTGGGCAGGCACCATTTGGACTGGTCCATCCCATCCTTGTGCAAAATACAGCATAAAACAACCCATCGAAGCAGAACAACCCATACACAATCGTGCAGCCAAATCTCCCATACAAAACTCAATATATCGTTGTCGTTTTGCAATGGCGACTGTCCCTGCCAGAGACATTCTTCGACCCCACAACCCAACAACCCTGATCATAAACTCAATAATTGGCAACATGTCAACCTGGCCTGGAGATATTCCTCTAGCTTCCTGTCCTGTGAGACTTCTTGTAAGTGCAATTTGTAATCTCTCGCAGTGTCGAACCTGGATTGTGAATCCTGGGGCTGAAGAGAAAGAGATTACCGCGCATTAAACATGGCATTGACTGCATGAAACAATAGGCGAGAGTCGCGTGCTGCTTTAAAGGCCTCCTTCATGTCTAAGCATGTGTCGCACGTTGCGTGCGTGCTGGGTGGTAAAAATCGTAGCGTGTTTCGCCAGCAAGTTGAATAACGCCGCCAAAAGGTGGCGTAACTCAGTCATCACATAAGGTGCAAAAACAATTCATCACAAGCACACATCTTAAACGCAACTGGTCCACGACACTTCGCTGTGCGGCTCTCTCTGACAATACTCGTAGTAGAGCATTTTCACGCTTCCGGGTGGAAGAAATCGAACCGGAAGAGATTGGATGTGCTGCGCGGCATTCGACTCCACCCACCTTGTGCCATACATGTAAGGAAAGAAGTTACTTTACTGACTGTGAATCTCAAAGGAGTCTGGGCAAACCACGTGGAAAAGAACTGCTGTGAACCCAAGTAGTGAAGACGGAGCTCTTCATCGTCTTCTAAACGTTCCCCACTTGGTGCAAAAAAGTCTTCAACTCTCTCGCTGTCAGAGCTATCACAATCATCGCTGGAGTCATGGCCGGTCTCAAACGCAACTCTCATTTGGCTCCCACCACCAGCGCCTCTCTTGCGCCCAGCCCTCTGAAACCTGGGCAGGTGCAGTTCATCCCTCAGGAGTCATAGGGCCTTAGGGTGGAGGACTGAAAAATGGTTTTTGCTCACGAGGAACTTGTTGGGCAGCATTCCTGCTGCATCAAGGTATAAGCGCATCAAATACATATCTGTTCTCATTTGCTTCACTGGTGCTTTCTTCTTTGCCTTAACAGCGTGAAAATGCATGAAATTTGCCTCTTAAAGTTCTCTTTGCCTTAACAGCTGCCTAACAGTCTGACAAAATGCAATTGATCATCACCTCATACTAGATTTATTCGAGGCTGCAAGTCCAAAACATGAGAACCTCTTGTCCAACATGCCAGTGGATGCCCGCTGTAATCGATCTTCTCCGATTCCCAAAATAGTGGCCAAGCACTTGACAGAGATTTGCACCCCAAGCAAGTACCAGTTCTTGCGAGAAGACCGTCCAGCAGGACCATGAACCCAGTGAATCTTAGTTGTCAACTACCCTGCAACAGAACCCACAGGAATGCAACCAGTAACATTCAATTTGAATGTAGCCAACCAGTAAGTTTATTTCAGACAAGAAACATAAGCATCTTGAAGAGTTTTCTTGAGGCTCCAGAACATGACTAGGTACTGCATCAGTTCCCGAAAGAGGCGAGAAAACTTACGAAAACAATCGCCTTTGCACCTGCACCCTTGTTGAACAAGCCGTCCAACCCGAGATCGCGAAGATCCATTCTCATGCTGCCTGGGCGGAGATCAGCCAACAAAATGGACCCAAGACTGACTGACTGTTAGAAAATTTACAGGAAAAAGTGAGGCTGATAGGAGATCTGAGGTACTGTCTTCTGTCCGCTGGCAGGATTCTCATGCTACTCCTCTCTTTGGAATTGTAATTGGGCCTCTTCCGACTCTCTGGAGCAGGGGGGTTGTGTGCTGAATGAAGCACGTCCTGATCTTTGAACTCTACCAGGTTGTTCAAGTTGAACTTGATGTCATTGCCTTCTTGGGTTTCACTTTCTCTTTGAGAAAGCCGTCCCAAAAAAGCAGCCCTTGAGACAACTTCCTGACCTTTGTCAGGCTTTTCCAAATCCTCCCGCCCAGAAGCACTCGAGCCCTTCGCACATTGGGCTAAAAACCTCAGTGGAACATAGTAAGTAAGCCTTACAGCTCAATCATGATTCATGATCATCATAACTTCCAGCGATGACTCCATTGAGTTAAGTCACGCCAATCTTCGTTTGTCGCCGCTCATTGTGCCCACTTGGGCCAAAATGTAATGTGATAAGAGTCTTGCACAAGCTCATAAACCCTGGGCCTTTAATTAACATCAAAATACACCAACCCCTGAATGAAAAGCAATCACTATGGAATGTAAGGAAATAGACATCTTTAAAGACTGCCTCTCTTTGGTGAACTTGCGCATCCCGAACTCTGTGACCCACATTGGGAACGGTGCCTTTGAGAATTGCAGCTCGTTGGTGAACTTAGCTGAGCAGAGATTTCGATTTGAGCGGCCAAGTGCCGTTGACACGCACCGGTTCGGTGCAAAGCGCAGACGAGTTCCAGCCAGGTGATCCACCAATACCAGCGACGGCCACGTCCTTCCGGTCGCCACGTCCGAGCACAACTCGTCCGGTCGTCACGTCCGAACCAACCGGGTCGGGTGCTGGTCAACTGGGCATCTGCTTGGATCCTTCGAGCGAGTCCGCGCCGAAGGAACGCGTTCGTCGCTCCGTGCGGAACGCGGAATTCGTTCGGACTTCGGCGCGGACCTTCGGCGCGGAACAGCGCGGAACAGCGCGGCGCTGTGCCTTGCGAGGGGAGGGCGGCGAGAGGTGGACTGGATGGGAGAGGGCCCCGATGACCAGACTGGGTCAGACTGGACCTGTATCTGCGGAGCCCACACCTATTTTGGTCAATAGATGTCAATATGATTTAATAGGATTGAAAGAGTGATTGAAAGCACCTGGCAGGAGCATCTCACTTTTCCCAAGACACCCAGGCGGAAAAGGCTACTGTTTTTGTTTGGCTTCTTTCATCATTTCGACCCTCAAAATCTGGTTTCTGCACTTGGGATCCACATCATTCTCCAATCCCCAGACGCTCCATGGGACGAACCCATAGGACATAGGACTGCCCAAAAAATGGGGGGTGGTGCCAGGGCCTCAGAGGGGCCTTTCCCGGTCGCGTTTGGGATCCCAAGATTCCCCCGTTGTCCTTTACTCCCACAAAACGGTCGCGGCTCTCTCGTAGCGCGTAGCGCAGGCCACGGCGATCTCGAAGGACACCAATGAGCGGCTCGGCGCTTTTCGTTCCGCGGCGCGCGGGGACGGCACGCGAGGAACGTGGTGGAGCGTGGTGGACCGACACGTCGTGTGAATCAACGATGTGGCACCAAGTCGCAGTATGGCTTCAAAGCACAAGTTCTGCCAGGTTGTGACCCGGCAGTGAGGGTGCTGGTATATAAACGGTATATCTCATGATCCGGGAGTCACACGCACTTGGGTGGTTTTTCTAGTCCCATCGTCGGGGCTGTGGATGTGACAGCGACACCCCGAGCTTTGTGACTTCTAAATGATTTTTGGGGCGCCTGGTCGACCTCCCGGATGGCCTCCAGTGGTACCTTCTGACAAGGTGTTTGGGGTGGGTGCCAGGAGGGTCCAAATACCTTCTGAGGAGGTACTTGGGGGTCTAGGGCCTCTTTGTATCAAAAGCCATGGTCCGTCGCTGTTTTCTAATCCCACATGGCGCCCATCGTTGATGGTCCCGCCTGATGGCGGGCCCC